GATTTCCCTTCTGGACTCTGTTGCTGCTCGCTCTCTAGGAACTCTGGGGGCGTCGCCCGCCGCAACTGCGGTCAAACCTCCGCGAACAGACTGAACTTTGAATCAGAGATCCGCCCCGCACCAGTTTGTTAAATAAATGCTTTGAACTTTCCCACTGCCTGTCTCGCCTTGAATACTGGGTCCATTATTCTGAGATCATTACAAGAAGGGGTCCACCCCTTTGGAATGGGGGTCGTTCGTTACTAGCCCGCAATATCCCATACCCATCTAAGTGACATTAATCGATTGCTTTTGTAATGACATTTTACATGTAATTTCAATATTTTACATAAAGACTGAATTACAAGAACATACTGATAACGTAGGCTATATGTATGGGTCAAATGTTTTGAGTTGTTTTTTTCCACCAATATAAAATGCAATATATTTCAGCACATGCCTTTTTAAAATGATAAATACAACAAACACTACAGAAACAACAGCTTAATAAAGAATTACTACATTGACATTTGACACTGATTTACTTTCTATTTACTTTCTGTTTTCTAACTTTAGACACAATATCAATGCTAACTCAGTCAATATCTTTGAATCAACCCAGGATAGCCAGACTAATGTTATGCTACTTACTATATTATAGGATATAATGGCGTATATATTGATTTTTCTAGGTTAGTTCATCCTCTGACAGTGAAATAACCAGTGGAACGTCTTCCCACAGCCAGCAGGCTGCTTGTTTTTGCAGCCAAATGCTGCACAGGGAGGCATTTTTACTGTGCGTCTCCGTAGCTTTATTTTTTTCCGGGCAATCAGCAATCTATTGAATAAATAGAGATCAGTGGCCTCATGTTCCTCATGCTTGAAATCTAAAGTGTAATGCCAATTGAAAAACACTAGGGGGCAGTATTTATCAGAAAGAGAAGTTTGTTAGAACAATGTTAGTTTAGTCAAATCACATGTCAAAACTCATGCAAATAAAAAAAATCTACAGCTGATATTTGATTGTTACTCATGTTTAGATAACCTTTGATATTTCTTCTCTGTTTTATTGTTTATACTTGATAAGATCATTTTCTGAACAACACATCTCGCCAATAATTACAAACATTCCTTATTAAAAACACTATTTCAAGGGTTTACCTTAATTTTGGTTGATCAGTATTTTGTTTGGGGATAACCCTGCCATAAAGGGATGTTTCACTACATGGATCTGAGTTTTAGTCCTAAAGCAATTCCAGTATGTGAAGAAAAGGCCCACGTGTCATTCTGTAAGGCTCAACGTGCTCAAATTGCTGCCTTGCAGTCTGACACGGTCTTACCTCGCCCACTGAGACCGACAGAGTTTGAACAATCTTCTCGTGTGCCATGGCAACAACACTTTGCCCGTTTATTTCGATGATTCTGTGTCCAACCCGGACCCCGCCTCGTTCAGCAATGCCGCCTCGCATCAGACTGCAGATCTGACCAAAACACATTAAGTTCAGAAGGAAAGCACTCGCGTCCTTAATGCTTGGAGACCTTCAGTCTTGGGGTTTTACTCACTATGCCGTTCTGAACACTGAAGCCGAGCTGATACTTGAGGTCCGGTCTCTTGATGAGGACTGTAGTAACAGGAGGGCAGCTGACAATGCTCAGCTTCACTTTCACCTGATTCTTCAAACCCTGGAAGATGTTGAATAAAACAGTTAGAAAGGGCCTTAATGCCATCATACCATCACTAAGATTTGGGCCCGGACGGCTCACACTGTACGACGAAACCACAGGGTTGAAAAGTTCCCAGCTCACAATGTTTGTTCTCTCACGCTGTGCGACCCAACGCTCTGATGCGATCTACTTGCTCACTGTACGTCTAAAAACCAGGTGGGACTCAGCTCCACAGTGAGATGGCGCTACTCGGACTCTTCTATCCGGAAGCCAAACCAGTAGAAGAGGAACAT